GGTATTTTATTCTTTTTGTTGCAATTGCAAAAGGATTTTTTAAATTTCTTGTCTCTGAAATTTCATTTAGTATATGGGAATGCAGTGTATTTTTGTACATTGATTTTTTTCTTTTAAAAAAAACCTTTATTGTTGAAAGTATTACATAGGTACGCCCTTCTCCCCCATTAACCTCTTATAGCCCGCTCCCATGCTCTTTTCCAGCATGTTCTTTTCATGCATATGTGTCTATTACACTCCACAAAATGTCTTCCTTCTCTGCAGCTTAACATCCATGTGCAACCTCTGCTCCCCCCAGGCCCTCACCACCCCATTGTCTGTGTCCAGGGGTTATGTATATATGCATACAAGCTCATTGATTGAGCACTTTCCATCCACCCTCTCCTGCCCCCCCTCTGGGGTTCAACAATCTGTTCATGCTTCTATGACTCCCGGTCTATTTTTGATCATCAGTTTATTTGTTCATTAGATTCCACTGGCTTATTTTGCTCAGCATAATACTCTCCAGGTCCATCCATGCTGTTGCAAATCGTAAGAGTTCTTTTTTAAAAAAAAATTTTTTAATTTTTTTTATTGCCATGTAGTATTCCATTGTTTAAATGTACCATAGTTTTTTTTACCCACTCACCTGCTGATGGGCACATGTACATTGATTTTCATATCCTAAAATTTTTAGGAAAGGATAGATCTAACGGGAAATAAGTATATAAATGAAAACACATGCACAATCAAAATTATGCTGCATATTCTTCCAGGATCAATCCATATCTAAGAACAATGATTAAACCCTCTTAAGGGTCTACCAATTGTGTAAAATATGTGTGTGAGGAGGTTACTATGGTAGTGTAAATCTTTATGGTAGATAAAGATTAAAAAAAAAAATAAGAGAAGGGCTCTAAAAGTGATGCTGATGCTAGTGAGTCATTAAATGAGGTTCAAGCAACTCTCTCCATCTGAGAGGTTCATCTTCCAAGATATCAGAGATGGTCCACATGGTAGGACAAGAGGTGGCTGAATGCAGAGGTTGAAGGGGAGCCTATGACCAGTATGACTCCCAATGTGAGTGGGTAGGATATAGAATAAAGAGGAGGAACAAGTATTGGAATGGGAGGTATCAACTAGATTGAGGATTTTAAAAAATATATGTGATAGGTTGAGTAAGATGAAGGTTCAAAGGAAAAGGATAAGGGAAGGGGCGCCAAGAGGATCCAAGAAAAGCAGGGATGAATGCCAAGACAGAAGCTTTCAGAGGTCAAGTCAAGCAAGGTCAGGGCTGAGAATGGTCAACTGGATTTAGCAAAGTGGAAGCCACTGGTGACTTTGATGAGTGCTGTTAGTGGAGTAAGGGGGGGAAAGCCAGAATGCGTAAGATTAAAGAAATGTCTGAAAGATAAAGAAGAGAAGGCAGCAAACACGGTGACTATTTGATGAAGTTAACTGGGGGCAGGATGGAGAAAGGGCTCCAGAGGAGGATGCAGAATGCAGGGCTGTGAGATGGGAGAGAACTGAGTCTTTATATGAGAGGTCAGAGATGGGGATGAAGCCAGGGTTGAAAATGAGGAAAGAGATACTACGTAGATGAACTACACATCTTAGTTGATTATTTTGGTTAAAAGATGAACTAAGTTATGTTATTATTGATGAGACTTTAGCTGGAGCATAGAGCTAGCAGTCGCACATGGGTGTTAAGCTGCAGAGAAGGAAGACATTTTATGGAGCGTAATAGACAACATATGCATGGAAAGAGATCTTGAGCTGGGAAGGACTTCTTAAATATGAGCTACAAAGTGGTAAACCTAAGGCAAAGGACTGATAGATTTGTCTGTGTCAAAATAAAGATTCTCTAACTTTCATGTGCGCAGGAGAGCATCTTAAAAACACAGATTCCCAAAGATTATAATGCAGTAGGCAAGTTGTATAAATTTACACTGACATAAATTAAATCTAATAAGGTAACACTAAAAATGCATCATGTCCTAATTATTTTACTATTATGTGTGCTATTGAGGTATTTTTATCTATCATATCCATATTTAGGTAATACTGTGCAGTGCTGTGCATCTCTTCCCAACTCGGTGTATTGAAATCAGCGCTGGTGATTTACACCAGGGAAATTGGCAAAGGCGATCAGTTAACCCTTTCCCCTCTTTTTTTTTTTTCTTTTTTTTTTTTTTTTTTTTTTTTTTTTTTTTTTTTTTTTTTTTTTTTTTTGAGAAGTGTTACTAGCATACCACTGAAAACTGTCTTTAAAGAGATCAGCAGTAGTATCAGCAGTGAGGAAAATGAAAGCATGAGATATCAAAGGGCAGGGAAAACCTTCTATATAATTGCCCAAACATTAGGTTGGGGTGTGGCAACTTTACCCAATCTTTTTGCACCCATGCAACGCTCCAGCTTCCTTTAAAATCTTGCCTGGATGACTGCAGCCCAAAGCAGAAGTAACAGGAAGCAACTTTGGGGGAAGATTTCCCAATTCTTTGTTGAACTGGCAACTAAATGTTTCTCTTGCCAAGAGATGAGATTATGATGCCATCTAGTGTCGAATAACAGATTGGCTCGAAAGAGGAATGCTTACAGATTTCTCTTGACCCTGGAAACATATCGATAGTAACTGCCATAGTTTTCCTTCCTTCCTTTTCCTCTATTTTCTTTCCTCACGTCTATTCCTCTTTTGGAGTGCTTTTCTCTTTCCACCTCTCCCCAACAAGAATAGCCATTGATTTTTTTTTTTTTTTTTTTTTTTTTTTTTTTTAAGATCTCAAGTCTGTTTAGCTCCTAGGCAAATATAGATACTATTGGCATAGCAATATGCAAATCAGTGCTTGCCCTTAGTATGTACCATTTGGAGTGAATTTGTTTAGGGAAATTGTAGAAATCTTCTCTTATGTGTCACATAAATCAAATGTTCTCTGGTTTCCCAACATGCCCCATCTCCTGGGACAGGGGCAGAGGAAGTAGTGGTGTTAGTGTGTTGTAATGTCACAAACAACCCTAATTCATTTGCAAGTGTTATTTCTGATTTTCTTAGGAAAATGGTAGAATACAAGGCTTGTTTATAAGTTCCGAGTGAATAGGATATTTCATTATTTTATGAGGACCTGTGCTGTCATTTATTTGAAGTGAAAGTAATTATATATGGTTGAGTTCTCACAGTTGGAGGGTCCTCTAGAAATTGGAGTAAGATCCTGGGGTTGCTAATTCCTGCTGGGAAGGTTTACTTTGCCTCTAGCACACTGGAGAAGAGATATCAGAAGTAGCCCCTGAGTAAGATTACTTCTCTTTTGTCCCTGTAGTGATCAATGGTCTGAACAAAATTAAATGACATTTAATAATAGTTGGCCTAAAGCTGTTGTTGAATTATGATAGTTTCCATTTTTACACTAAGAACTAACCTATAAGTTCAGGGAGATTTTGGATGTTAGTTATCAAACAAAACCAGTAAGGAATAAATATCATTGTCTCTGTAATGTTGTAGCAGGAGTAACAAGTCATTCTCAAGTGTTTGGCAGTGGAAGTGAACGTAAAATATGAGGTCCAGACTCGGGATCAGACTTCTTCCAGGATTCTTCTTGTGTTTCTGAAGCAGTAGTGGAGAAATCTCATCTTGAGTTGGCCAGACGGTACAAATGCAATTTTTAATTTTAATTCAGGGTCAAGGCTTTTACAGTAAATTCAGCTATTTTTCTACTCAAGATTTCCAACAATAGCCTTACGATGCTCACCCTTATCGAGGATGGCAGTTTTGCTTTAGAAAGCGAGCCTAAATGTCTCGAGGCTATGAACTGTTTCCATTAGAAGTAGGAACTGAGGATCCTGTTAGGAAGGTAGAATTCAATTTTATCCACATTGGGTCAAACTATTCGATGCAACAGAGCCTGAGTATTCCCAGAATGCTCAGTAAACACCCCAATTTATCAAATGGTAGCCAACTTATAACGCCAGTGGCGTTAGACCCTAGAAAACTTTTGAAGACCAAACTGTACTACCAAAGGCAGATCTGAATCCTGTGTGGTCTGATTGCCACCTGACCCTTACACGAAGGACCTGCCTGCGTAAAGCCTCAGAACCATTGATTGCATTCTGGCTCTTTGCTGTCCATTCCCTGGAGAGTTAATGTTCCACGTTTCCTTTCTCACACCAGTCTGTTGTAAACATGGAAACTAAATAACAAAAGCTTCAACACTCCTGTGACTTTAAATATATCTGAAGCTTTGAACATTGTATTTAAAATTTGTTAGATGCAAAACCATCTGATCTTTGCTGTAATAGGCAGACATAGTCCTTTATCACCCCTTTTTCTCAGTCTTAATGAACTCTGAAGTGAACTCTCATGTGGGCATGCTTCTATTTATGTAAAACAAAAGCTCTGTTAGTCACACATCATATTATTGACCCTCAAGTTTCCACTAACTTAGTTCATTGGCAGATCTGTGTAATCAAGATTGATACTTTTGGTAACTGTGAAGCATAACACTATGAAGTGGTTACAGAGATTAATTTGACTCAGTTGTAGTGCTAATTCATTGTATTTTTAAATCTTTGGAATGGTACATGAGAGAACTTCAAGGAGGTCCTAACTGCTCAAGAAAGAAAATTAACATTCAAGCGACTACTGTTTGTCAAATGACCAAGTATCTTATTTAATTTGTTCCTAGAGCACTTATTTTGGGGCACTTCTTTCTGTCCTAACATCCCTGTTAATCTGTGGCCTCATGTACGTAGACCCACTGCAGAAGTAACTGAGTGTCCCTTAGGAAAAACTGCTGTAGGGTCTTTGCAGATAAGGTGAGGCACGAATGGGCACCTAGGTCCTCTAAGGCAGAGTTAAGAACTCACCTAGCTATAGCAGACTGTTTCTTAAAGGAATGAGAATCTCTTCCATGAAAGATTCCAAGTCTAATTTACTTCTTTAAGGCAGTTTCAATTAAAGACTGTTTTGGCTGCTTCTGAATATAATTAGATCGCCACTCCCAGAGTAAAAAACGACTAGAACACAAGACTTAAAAACCAAGCCATTTAATTGTTTTTAAGGTAAACAATACATGGATCCCAAGCCCTGAGAATGCCAGAGCTCAAGGTCCAAGTGTCCCAGGGTGTGATATTCTCAACGGAGTTCAGAAGGGTCAGAACTCAGAGGTGTTCGAGGCAGAGCACTTTTGGAATTCATGCATTCCACTAAGCAATTTTGCAAACTGCCAGAAACTGACCCCAAGAGTCTTTGATGGGGAAAATTCAATCCCTGGTTTTACAGATAAAAGAATGAAGAGTACCAAAAATGTGGTTTACTTTTGTCACACAATCTGAATCCTGAGCTGTCGTGATCCCAATTCATAGCATCCTATGCTGTAGTTTAGGTACGAGATCAGTCCCTCTATCCATTCACTTCCATGTAATGCCACAGCAAGAGTGACCTGGGGCAGAGAGCTCTTTTACCGCTTTTAACAAGCACTTACACGAAAAGAACTCTCTGGCGGCACACGGGTTAGTTTATAAGATTTTAATTTACAAATTTAAAAAAAAAAAAGCTACAGGTTTTATTTTTTCTCCTTTTTCTCTTCTTTCTTTGTATCACTCTTTTCCTTATCTTTCTCTTTGTCATCTTTTCTATCCTTTTTGCTCTCTTCTTTTTCCTGCCCTTCTTTCTTTTCTGCATCCCGGTTGGCAATCTTGTTGTTGATGAGGTTGTGCAGGGCAACTACTGAACGGATCAGGGAGGCCAAATACACCACGACCATCTGGTCGTTGGTCTTTAGGTAAAAGGCCTTGACAAACTCCTGCAGGCTAACGTCGGGCAGCAGGTTGAAGACGTCCTGCAGCTGGTAGATGATCTGGTGGTTGATGGGAAGCTTGCCTGTAGCCACTTTCTCCAGGTAGCCTTTGATGTCCAGAAGTTTAGAGTTCAGTCCCTTCAAACCATGCACCTGGTTTGTGATCCGCTGGGAAAGAGTGCCCACAGTAGTGTCTTTGATGTCTCTGTAGTAACACACAAGAGGAGGAAAAAGCATCAGTGTACTTACTGTATTAGCTCCCAGGTTCTCATATTCTAAGGAAATAGTACCTAGCTTTGTGTGTGTGTGGGGAGGGGGGGAAAGAGTATGGGGGGAAAGCAAGTTTTCAAAAGAAAAATGTTACTCCTCCATTTTACAAAGATCTGAGTATAAATTGCTTAACTTTGTTTTAATTGGGAGACATCTATTTTGTTTTTCTTATCACAGGGCATTTTTCAAAAGAAAAGAGAGAGCCAAAATAAAAAGTGTTTCTCTTAAAAACAAACAAACAATAAAAAAAAACCCCTCACTCCTTCAACTTTCCTAACAAAGGGTAGCATTTTCCCACCTGTATTTATACGATGTTGCAAGTTTAAATTAGCAGTAACATTTTGAATTGAAAGAAATCTTACTGAGAAGAACGATGACATTTTTAAATAAATCAGGGTTATATAAGTAGAGTACTTTAAAATAAAGCTCATCCCAAGTGGATTCTCTGCAGAAAACTAGCTAGCTACATTCACTGAAAAGGTCACCCTGGAAGAGAACATGCCTGTACTTTCTTCACACATCTGTTCCTGTCCCAGTCAGTGTTATCATTTCCACCCAAGGTGATACAGGTCTAGAACCCAGATCCCTGCATTCCGATACAGCTCTCCCTTACACTGAGCAGCCTCTTGGGCTGCTTATGAGACTGACACCTTCCCAAGTCTCACCGTAACAAGTGTTCGACCCCAACTTCTTCAGCTTCCTCGGCTCCAATTTCACTGGTCACATGCTCAAATGTTTTTGAGGTTGGAGTTCCATCCTGGGAGAGGAGGCTTAACTGTAGTTATTTGCTTACAAACAAACTGACACAAGTTCCTTTCCACACATTGATTCCTCTGTTTTAAATCAAATCACTTCATGAATTCATTTTTGGGTTTTCCACGGCAAGAGCGGGTAAGATTTGCTTTGAAGGCTTAGTCTTCTAAACTAATGTGACAGAGACTGCCGGAGCATTCTTGATAATCTGTGGGGATGGACACTCAGGGAAGTCTGGATTAGGCTGATTTTTAAAGTATATAGTCCTTGCCCTAGCTGCTCTGGTTCAGTGGATAGAGTGCTGGCCTGCGGAATGGAGGGTCCGGGGTTTGATTCTGGTCAAAGGCACACACCCAGATTTCGGGCTCAATTCCCAGTAGGGGGAGTGTAGGAGGCAGCTGAACAATGATTCTCTGTCATCATTGATGTTTCTCTCTCTCCCCCGTCCTCTCTGAAGTCAATCAATAAAAATATACTAAAATAAGAAAAGTACATAGTTTTTTTCTACAAAAGGCAATACGAGCTCAGGTCAGAAACATCACATTTAACAATCTATTGTTACTTGGATCAGACAAAGCAGAGCACCAAAATGATGCAGTCAGAACACCCTTCTGGTGGCCAGAATTTATCAAAGGAGCTGCTTGGGGATGTGGTTCACTGTATCACTAGGGACTTCCCTAGAGTTAGAGTTCAATTTTCCTGAAAATGGAGAAAAGATATATTCTGGCAGCTCTGTCTAGCTATACCTAAAGCCCAAGCTACTGGACCTGAGAGCACGTACTCGATGTAGTGGCTCAGTATTCAGGTGTCAAATCACACAGATTGGTCTTGCTAGATTGGTCCAGCCAGCTCTGACCTCCTCTATTTATTTATTTATTTATTTATTTATTTATTTAAAAATATATTTTATTGATTTTGTACAGAGAGGAAGTGAGAGAGATAGAGAGTTAGAAACATCAATGAGAGAGAGTCATCGATCAGCTGCCTCTTGCACATCCCCCACTGGGAATATGCCTGCAACCAAGGTACATGCCCTTGACCGGAATCGAACCTGGGACCCTTCAGTCCCCAAGCCGACGCTCTATCCATTGAGCCAAACCGGTTTCAGCTGACCTCCTCTATTTAAAAACCTATGCTCCAGCCATTAGGACTGAAAATCTTCAAGGAGAAAGGAACAGTGGCCCAGGAGGCCCAACAGTGAAAAGTGCATGAGATTAAAGGTAAGCTCTCCAGGTTCTGCATTTACTTTGCTGTGAACATCTCTGGGCAATCATTTAACTATTTTGGGCTTCAATTTCATTTGTAAAAGGGGATTTTAGATCTCTATGGTCCTCTCATTTCTAAAATGTGGCTATTCAAACACTCAAAGGGAAAAACCATAATACCAAACTGTCAATTAACAACCTTCTCTTTCTTATAAAGAGATAAAGGATTTGTTGACTTGAAAATGGGAAAACAAAACCCCAAACAATTGCATTATAAGTAGCAAATCTATTTATTCTAAACTCATAGCAAGATGACTTACATCATGAACTTCTTCCACTGAAATATATGCTTCTGTGGGCAGTCCCAGGTCCTTTGGTTTCACATCAATGATGACTAATACCTTGCAGAAAAACACATCTTAGCAAACCACCTCACACTGAATATATAGAAACGACAGCAGCCATTCTTCTGATCAGGAGTACTGAAGGATTTCATTCAACCAGACAAAAGCCAGAATTTTACATTCAAATGATCTCATCATTTGCTTTGTTCTCCACCCCCACCTCTCTCTCTCTAAAAGCCTAAGCAACTGTCCGACCATCTGACCAGTTGCTATGATACTCACTAACCATCTTAAAATGCTCTTAAGTTAACTGGCAAAGAATATCTTTCAAGAGTTTTAATGACAGAGCGTACTCACTGAGTTAGGGCAGTATCTTTTCATGAGTTCATTGATGGCGATGTCATTCTTGTGTAGTTTAGGGCCAGTGTGGTACCATCCAACTATTCTTTCTCTGGCTGGGTAGGGGAAAAAATTAAGTGGGTTTGAATTGTTAAAGATTTATGTAATTCCCTCAGAAAGGGAAAGAACTCCAGTTATTATGCTCTCTACCCTTTTCAGAATTTAAGACATCTATTTTAAACCTTGACTTATAAAATGTAAAACTCAATAGAATTTTCAGAAAATTGAGCAGCAAGGGAAATTCAGACATCCACATCTCAGACTAGTTTAGGAGACCAGTCAACAATGGAAACAACCAGAAAATAATTCTAAGGCAACATATATTGTAAATGTGGGTTCAAGTCCTATAGACTGCAATTGTAAGTGTTGCAGGAATAAACATTTTCAAAGCAACATGGTTGCTGTAATGAAATATAATGAAATAATACACATGATGAAGAGGTATACTTATCCTGGCAGCAATAAAGGTCTAGGGGCAAGTGGATTTTATTTGCTAATTCGTTGGTTTTCTGCTGCAGAGGGCTAGCTCTCTCCCCTAAAACTTAGGTGGTCTTTGCTAGTCTAGTTTCTCATTTATTCTTCCTCATCTTCTACAACCTCTAGTCTTACTGAAGTCTAGCTAAGGAAAGGGCCCTTGACATTAACCAAAGAAAAGGCAATACTTAAAAAAGAAAAAAATGTTGCGCACACATTCTTAAAAGATAATGTAAATCAATGCCACAAAAATCTTAAACACACACACACAACACACATGACATACCATTGACCTTCTTAAACATTCCATACATGTTTTCCAAATAATCATGGTCTAAAAACCAAACGGAATCATCTTTGTCATCTTCATCAAAAGGAACTAAAGAGGGGGAAAAAAAAAAAAGCAATATTTATTTTAGAGCCAGGTAGAATTCTAGAGCACGGGTCATAATCAGAGACCCCTAGGCCAGATATGATTCACACAGGTGGTTTGTCCAACACAGTATTGAAATTATTTTTGAACTGCTCTCATTAACAAGTAGGAAATTTCACATAAAAATCCAGACTTCTGGCTTCTCTTAAAAAATCAGAAGACCTTCCAACAACTGGCTAAAGCAGGTAGAAGTTGAACCCTTTAAAACAGACATGCGAAAAGCCCCATCACTTCCTCATATTTTCCATTTGGCAAATAACATTACTATCTGGTCCTTTTAGACACTGGAGTTAGTTACTTTTAGTCTAGGGGTCATGCCAACACTTATCTTGTTCTTTTTTGGTGTTGCTTTAATCATAAAATACATTGAAATGTTCTTATAAAGATTCATGCAACAGAATAAAAGGGCAATGGTCTCCACCTTTCCTTTGCTAACCAATAATCGTGGTTAATAGTGCATAGGTTTACAAACGACACCAATTACCTATTTTTATAAAGTTTTACTAAACCACAGCTGCCATTTGTCCACATACTGTCTATAATTGCTTTTCTGCTACAATAGCAGAGCTGGGCAGTTGTAATGGAGACTGTCTGGCGTGCAGGTTTAAAATATTTACCCCCAGATAATGGATTTTCATAGGTTATGATAATGAAGGCTAAAGGCTGTGTATTGAGAGTTTTAGTATTGTTATTTTGGAATCATCAGTTCTAAATGCCCAAAATAAATATTAGACTTTTCAAGGAAAAAAAAAAAATTTACCACCCATTTTAGTGTGTAGCCTTTAGCCTCTTTTTATACCATAGCAATTCTTAATAAGAATTCTGGTTTGCAGTAAAAAATGGAAAACACAAAAAGTCCCTTTTAATTTCCAATTGACATTTTAACCATGCTCAGAAAATGTAAAATGTCTTTTACCTGCAAAACTGTTGGATACATCCAGTACTTTCTTTTGCCATGACCCCAAAAGCACACCAACAACACGCTTCTGGTTTCCAACCTTGCCTATTCTGAATGAGAAAGGAGAATGTCAGTTTAATAGGCACACAGGAGGTGCCAACAAGCCGATACTCAACAGGAAATATTCATGTACAGATTCAACTGTGTGAGTTTACCTGGAAACTAATCCCACTGAACAAATGTAATAGAGTCAGGTTACTCTATTAAATTCTAATAAATATGATGAGTAATTCATGAACTTTTTACACTGGCAGTTTTTACTCACTGTTAACTGGAAAGTAATACAAGCTTGGAAAAAATTTCAAACTTTATACAAAGTTTCAATGGAGAAAATGTAAACTCTCTCTATCTTGAGTTTTAAAATGTTGATGTTTGAAAAACATATGTTACTACCACATTTAACTTTATATTTTTCTTTGCAGCTTACCTTTCTCTTTTAATTATTTTTATTTTTTGCTTTATTCTTTTAAAAAATTCTTTAAGTATAACGTAAGTCTCCTTTCTCCCCCATTGACCTCTCGCCAGCTGCTCCCATCCCCCCTTACCTTTCTCTTTTAAACCTTTCCCATCTTCTCTATCCTTGAATCTTTTCAGGGATAAAGATGTTAAAGTAAAACCAGTTTTATTGGCCAGCTTGATGCTAACTGCTCTCTGGCACATTCACACCATGTCAGCAAGCCCCACTAGATGTTACACTTCTTTGAACCAGTTAGGGGCTCAGAAAGTGATTCTGACCCCAGAGGCTCATGCGTGTCATCTGTGGTCGTTCTGAATGGCTTAATTAGAAAGAAAGTCAACAGCGAGCTGGTGACTAATCACACGGCGAGTAGGATTGAATGAGAAAGATTTTACTTCAGGATTTTTATCTCTATGTCAAACCTCAGTGATTTTTTTCCCTAAGGAGCTACAAGTGTAGCAAGTGATACATAGTCACAATACAACTCTATATTCAGAGGAAAGACAAAACCCACTGTGAAATGAACTATGATTTCTCAACAGTTGCTGGTTTCACACTGGTTTAATTGAATCAATACAAAGTTTGGCAAATTTATAAATGCTTGCTAAATTTGGGGTTTGTATTAAACAAAGTTAAGGATTCTGTATTCCTGGTGGTTTTGATTTTTTTGGAAAACTTAGGCCCTGGGTTTGCACACTTCAAAGTTAATTCCCACACTCACTGGCTTTTATTTTGGTTTACAAAAATCGATTTGTCTTTTACAAAACCCTGCATTCGTTATCTGACACAGCAGCTAGCAGTGACTGTTTGTACCATGCCCTTAACAAGTGTTTGTAAAGTTTACAGAGTAGAACTGACACGATGTCTGCCCCTTTAGCACCCCTAGTATCCTATGGAAGAAAAAATAGCAATTACTGTACAGCATATCCTGTTAGGCTGAGGGCCTTACAAAGCAATAGAACTGAATTGGGGACCCTAAACCTCGCAGTCTCGAGTTGTTCCCCCCCCCCCCCCCCCCCCGGCTGAATTAGGAGTTGTACAAAGCAAAACGCTGGAGAATGAACGGGCACTTAAAAATCTCAACTCTACAGCAGTTGCTCCCAACTGGGTCTTTCTTTACATTAGCTAGTTCAAGTAATTACTTTGTAAAACGTACGAACACGTGTAACAGGTCCAGCGGGACGAACAACCTGAAAACAAGCAAGGGAAGGCGGGAGAAACATATGGGGATGTGTTCTTATCTCAGTTTCCAAACTGATCTCATTTTTAAAAGAAAATCTTGATACCTCATCTACGTTTTTACGATATCGTTAAACCAGAATCCAGCTCAGAAAACTTTCGCAAGTTAAAACCATAGCTCTTCCAGGGCGCTGAGACCAGAATTTCGGTGACAGCCTTGGAAGGCACAGAAGCTAGAATCAGAAGGGCTTTCCTACGAGACAAGGGAGGGGGGATACGGTGACAGATGGGCACGAGGCTTGGGGAGGGGGGGGTCAGGGCCAATTGAAGGTTGCTCCCATAGCATAGCAGCCTAAGGACCAGGATAAAGGAAATGGGCAGCCAATCCCCGGAGGGCCGGCCGGCCGGCCGGCCGGCGCAGGGGGGACAAGGCTGGGTGACTTGGGCTTCCTGAACCGAGGATGGTCTGGGTCTCTCGGCGAGACAGGGCCGCCCTCCGCCCATCAGCGCTCCTGCGGCCGCTTCGCCTTCCCCAGAGCGTCCGTGACTCAGCAGCGGAAGGAGCCGCCGGCCCCGCGCCGCCCGCTCACCGGTTAAAATGATCCACCACACTGAGCAGCACCAGGGGGTGGACCACCACCTTCTGCACCGCCAGCTCCGGCATCGCGACAGACACACCCCGCCCGCCAGGTTCCGCTCTCTGCGACCCGCAAACACAGGCAGCGACCGGCGGCAGGGACACTCGCGGATCCTCCAGGCCCGGCTCCACCCCTTCCGGCCCGGCCGGCGCCGCGCGGCCGCCGACTTCCGCTCCCAGGGTGCCCCGCGCGCGCGTGTCGCTCCCGGGATGACGCACCCGCCGCCGCCGCCGCCGCCCGGAGGAGGGGTCGTGACGGAGAAAGGCGGGACCTGTCCTGCGCGAACCGCTACGAGAATGTTCCCTTGCAAAGTAAAAGGACAAAGAAGACCGATGAAAGGTTGACTCTCCGGTATTTGTCCTGCACTGTTCCCTGCAGTGGTTTTTCCGCCTCAGTGCCCCTTCAGCCCCTTCCCGCTCTCCTCACCTCCCCCCCGTCTGAAGACTAGAAAAAAGTACTAAGAAAAAAAATATAAATAGTAGTAACTAATATTTCCACCGTCCAGAACATGTTCACTTCTGCTCCAAGCCACAATCCTCCAGAATTTCTTAGAAGAACCAACTTTAAATCTCTAGCATTAAGGCGCGCCCTTCATGGTGGATTTGGTAATTTACCTCATCCTCATTTTATTGTCCGGGAATAATTCCCTTAATCTCGACTAGGGACACGTGGCCGATAATATGTGTTTCTATTTCCCACTTGTCTTTTTATTTTAAATAGGGCTCGACGAACGTAGTTTGTGCCTGCAGTCACAGCCTTCAGGCTAGTTTTCAAGTAAAAACTTAGGCGGGTGCTGAAGATGAAAGGAAATAATGCTTTGGTATTTAGCAAGGAAAGAGAAGAAAAAAAAAAAGACTAAATGGGGCAATGTAGGAGACAAGGTTTTAAGCTTATTTGCAGAAAGCCAAGTTACTTAAAATCCATGCAAGTTTATATTTCCGTCTAATTTTATTTTTATTTTAAAAAATTGTTGAAAGTATAATATTTGTACCCTTTCCCCCCATTTCCCCCTTCTTGGCCCGCTTCCTCCCCAGACCTTCACCACCTTATAGACTGTGTCCATGGGTTATGCACAGAAGCATACAAGTTCTTCCTTCTGTCCATCTCTTCTAAGTTGCTGTTTCTCTAAACAAAAACAATACTCCAGCAACTTGAATTGTTTACTAGTTCTTTATCCTGTCTTCAAAAACCTTTTCTCTTCCTGATATTAAAAGGATTTGACCTCACTGAAGACTAGGAGACTTTTGCTCTAAGCCTGCTTCCATGTAATAACTTTTGATATTATTTCTTGGTCTTGCCCATCACTTTTATAACAGGTACTCTTCCTACTTTTGGGAACATTACTTTGGCTTTTTCTCATTCCTTTTAATATATATATATAAAAAACTTGGTAGTTGAAAGTATTACATGTCCCCTTTTTTTCTCCCATTGACACCTTATAGCCCGCTCCTGCCCCCTGCTACTGCTACTTGAGATAACAATTTTTAGATTAAGAAAATTTAAGCCAGCCTCATTGTGTCATGTGTTAAAGCATGCTTGCTGGTGTTTAGTACCTGATTAAAAGTAGACATTCTTGTTTAATCCCTTATATGATGTTATTCCTCACAGGGTAGGCATGCAAATATGTATTACAGAAAAAGATTGCAAGGATATTCCCCCTTAATTTTGTAGTTAAAGATTTAATAGTTTAATTTTGTAGTTAAAAATTGATTTTGATTTTTTTTTTTGTGTTAAGTAAGGATTAAGAATTGGCGTTTAAAAGAAGCATTTTTTAAGTTAAAAATATATAAAATTTAATAAAGAAGATGGGTTGAAATATAAGGAATGTATTTTCCATGTTGTCTTTTTTTTTTTTTAATGGAAATGAAATCATACTTGGTGCTGTAGCCATTATGGGCGCTCAATTCATTCAGAGACATGCAGTAGGAGATATAAGAAACCCCCTTAATTCTGGACTTAATTTTAAAGGACCTGATGGAGAGTTTAAGACATTTTCCTTTGATTATCTTTTTTTTTTAATGTTAAAATCCCCCCCCCCGATTTATTTAGAAATAAATAACATATAATATTGTGTAAGTGTAAGGTATACAACATGACTTGATACACATATATATTGTGAAATGGTTACCACAGTAGATTAGTTAATGCCTCCATCACCTAACATAATTTCCTTTTTAAAAAAACTTTAGTTACCATATTGTACATTAGATTTCCATCTTATGAATGGAACTTTGACCAACATTTCCCCATTTCCCCCAACCCCAGCCTCTGGCAACCAATATTCTTTACTTTTGAGTTTGGTTTTATTTAGATTCCACATACAGAGGTAGGCAAAAATAGGTTGACAATTGAGCATGCAAAGTTTATTTTAATATTATTTATTAATTATTGTATTGCTAAAGTTTATTTTAATATTATTTATTAATTATTGTATTACTATGAAATTCCTGCACTGGGTCCCGGGTGGGGAGACCTCAGCCCAGCCTGTACCCTCTCACAGTCCAGGACCCCTGGCTCCTTACCATTCGCCTGCTCACTGCTCCTTTCCATTGGCTTGCTGCTCCTTAGCGCTGCTGTGGAGGTGGGAGAGGCTCCGGCCACTGCTGCTGCGCTCGCCAGCTGTGAGTTCGGCTTCTGGCTGACCTGTGCTCCCCCTGTGGGAGTGCAGTGACAACCAGGGGGCAGTTCCTGCATTGAGCGTCGGCCCCCTGGTGGTCAGTGCACATCATAGCAACCAGTTGTTCCACTGTTCAGTTGATTTGCATATTAGGATTTTGTTATACAGAATTTTCCATATGAACAACTGTAAACCTACTTTTGCCCACCCCTGTGTAAACAAGATCTTAAAAGTATTTCTTTTTCTGTCTCACTTTATTTCACTTAGTGTAATGCCCTCAAGATCTTAATGTTGTCACAAATGGCAGGATTTCCTTTTTACGGCTGAATAATATTTCACATTTCCTTATCTATTCATCCATTGATGGACACTTAGGTTATATACAAGTCTTGCTGGATCACATGGTAGTTTTGTTTTTTTTTTTTTGGAATTTTTACACTCTTTTCCTTAGTTGCAGTACTAATTTACATTTCCACCAACAGTGCACACGGTTCCTTTTTCTTTACATCCTTTCAACACTTGTTATCTCCTGTTTTTCTGATACTAGTCATTCTACCATGAGAGAGGTGATATCTCATTGTGGTTTTGATTTAATTTCCCTGATGATTAGCATTTTTCATGTATTTGTTGGCCATTTGTATGTCTTTGGAAAAATGTCTATTCAGGCCTGCTGCCCATTTTTAAATCAGGTATCTATATAATAAAACCCTAATATGCAAATTAACCCAACAGCAGAATGATTGGTCACTATGATGTGCACTGACCACCAGGGAGCAGATGCTCAATGCAGGAGCTGTCCCCCTGGTGGTCAGTGCGCTCCCACAGGGGGAGTGCTGGTTAGCCAGAAGCCGAGTTCACAGTTGGCAAGCACAGTGGTGATGGTGGGAGCCTCTCCTGCCTCTGAGGTAGTGCTAAGGAGCAATGAGTGGGCCTAAGTTGGCAGGTAGAGATCCCCCCTGAGGGGTCCCGGACTGTGAGAGGGCACAGGCCAGGCTAAGGGACCCCCACCCCAGTGCATGAATGTCATGCACTAGGCCTCTAGTTTTTTAATCTTAAACCCCTTATTAGATATATACACTTTGCAGATTTTTCTCCCATTCTTTATGTTGTGTTTTCATTTTGTTGATCACTTATTTTACTTTGTAGAAGCTTATTAGTTTTTTGTAGTCACACTTGTTATTTTTGTTTTTGTTGCCTGCATTTTTGGTGTCATACCCAAAAAATTGTTGCCAAGACCAATGTTAAGGAGCTATTTCCTCTATGTTTTCTTCTAGGAATTTTACAATCTCAGGTTTTACTTTAAAGTCTTTAAGCCATTTTAAGTTCATTTTTGTGTGTTGTAAGATAAGGATCCAATTTAATTTGTTTACATGTGAGCATCCAGTTTTCCAACATCATTTATTGAAGATACTATTTTTGGTTTTCTTATCAAATATTAGTTGACCATATATGTGTAGGGTTATTTCTGGTCTCTGTATTCTGTTTCAAAAGTCTGTATGTCTGTTTTTATGCCAGTACCATATTGTTTTTTAAAATACATATTTTTTTAATTGCTTTTTAGAGAGGGAAAAAAGGAGAGGGGGAAAGAGAAACATCAATGTGAGAACTGGCTGCCACCTACCCTCCCTCTACTGGGGATGGAGCCTGCAACCCAGGCATGTGTCCTGATTGGGAATTGAACCAGCAACCTTCTGATGTATGATTGATGCCCAACCAACTGAACCATACTGGCTAGAGCAATACCATCTGTTTTGATCACTATAGCTTTGTAATAAAGTTTGAAATCAGGAAGTATGATGCCATCAACTTTGATAATCTTATTTAAATTTGCTTTGGCTCTTTGTGGTTCATACAAATTTTACTATTTTTTGTTCTATTTCTGTGGAAATTGTCATTGAAATTTTGGTAGAAATTACATTGAAGCTATAGATGGTTTTGGGTGGTATGAGCGTTTTAACAATACTCTTCCAATTCATGGATATGGGATATCTTTTCGTTTATTTGTGTCTTCTTCAGTTTTTTTCATCCTATAACTTTCAGTATAAGGTCTTTCAACTCCTTGGCTAAATTTATTTCTAAGTATTTTTTTCTATGCTGTTGTAAGTGGAATTGTATTCTTTGTTTCTTTTTCAGATATTTTCTTTTTAGTGTGTACTCATGTGACTGCAGGGGCTACCTGTAGGTGTGTGCAGCCAACAATTCTTGATGCTAGTAGGGGAACCATACTCTAGCTCAAACATGAAAGGAAATTTATATCTTACGTAACAGACAAGTTCTTTGCTGATTTCAGGGTCTCAAATGGTGTTTTTCTGTCTCTACCTTTAAGTATTCTGTGTTCTGGTTCCATCTTCGGATAAATTTCCGACCAGTGACAGGGAAACATGTTGATGGCCTCAGTCAGGTTTATATCTTTAAAGGAAGGGAGACCTTGAATTCCAAATCTTTATTTATGAAATTTGATTGGCCTTTGTAGGTCTGGATTACATCCCAGAACTAACTGCTGTGCCCAGCGGAAGGGAGTTTCCTAAATGTCCAGTTTGGG